AATAATTAGGTAGAAGGGTCCCCATGAGCAGAATATGAGAACTGGAAACGCCCGCAATACAACAGGCTTTGAACTACATTTCCGGGGAAAAAGAGTTATAGTTAAGGTTAATGTGGAATTTAGGATAAAGATTAACGTTAATGTTAGTTAGGGTTAAAGTTGACTGTTGGGGGTGAGGTTTAGGGTACGGTCAAGGGTAATATAACGGCTAAGTTTACTGGATTAGTTTAGAGCTCTTGTTAGGGCTAGGATGCGATAATATTTACCTGACGTTTCGACATCCGTCGCGGATTCACCATCAGAGGAAGTAACAGTAGCAAAAACATATTGTCCCAGCGATTGAGTCTTCTTCTTCTCAATTGCTTCCTGGGACACGCATGTTCGCTTGTATTGATAATATTTACCCTTCTTTCAATTATGCTCCGAGTTACCTTGGGCAAGGTGCGTCTATTCCCGTATGCTATTTATTGGAGTCATACAAGTCCTCCTTAATAGTAATTTATCATCACCGGGTATCCACCGGATCAGTTGGCTTTCGGCTCTTCTAATAGGCTAATTTTTGCTCTTTTTGGTGATAGTTGGTCGGAAGCACTTTTAATTTTTATCTCCAATTCCGGACTCGGAAAGGGGACACCCATCCCACCTTAAGGAAGAGAGCAAGTAGATATTATCTTGTTCAACCCTAGCACTAACCCAAACGCTTACCGTACCCTTAACTTAAACCTTAACCTTTTTTGTCCCACCGGAGGCGGGGAGAGGACATTAGGTGATCCGTTTATTTTTGAATTGGATCCCCGGGAACTTCCTTTGATAACCTCATTCAAAGTGCACAAAGGTTAATTACTTACATTTTTAGACAGGATATCAAAGAATTTGTCCTTGTCTCTGCGCATGTCTCAGATTTGTTCACGATTACCTATGACTAGGGATTCCCGACGGAATCCGAAACGTCAGGACAATAAAACTCTTGTGCCAGTGATCGCTTCTTCTTCGGAATTTGTCTTTGTTGTTAACCCTAAGGGGCAGGCGGGGTGTATAGCGTAAAGCCAATCACAATGGAGTAAAGTAAATCAGCAAGATTAGAACCCTGACCACATCATTGGTCAAAAACAGAAATGTCGTGAGCATCTTCTTAAACTTCTGGAATAACCAGTTTGCCAACCCGTATGTAGGCGTGCCTCGGAGGGGGACGACTGGCCGTAGGGGAACGTCTGGTTTGTGTGCTTTTGGAATTTGGCGCAGGTCCGCTGCATTAAGGTCGGTTCCTGTTTTTGTGTGTCGCCAGAGAGGTGAGGGATTCCTACCCGCGTTTATTTCTGAACTGGACACGGAGACCAGATGAGGCAGTCCAAATTAAACCTAACAATAACCTTAACCCTAACCCTACTCTCTTATCAAACCCTTACCTTAATAAATCCCAGATTCAGCCGTAAATGTTAACTTAATATAACGCGTCTACTTAAATCCAATAAGTAGGTGCAAAATAGAAAAAAGATAAGGACTTGCACACGAGGCCGTCAAATAGCATTCTTTTCAAGTGCTTTTTAACTGTGTTACAGAGACCTGATGCCCACGGTGGCAAACTCTGATCTGCTAAAGCTATTCGTCCCTTTTGTCAACTCGCATGATCCAGTGGAGTTTACGAAAGAATCACAGTTGGATCCAATTATTTTCTCACCCGAGTGGATGTCACGTCTGCTACCCGCACTGACGGTTGGCCGACGCGAAGCGCAGGCCCTAGCAGCTTTTCATGTCGTCGCAGCAATCACCGCGATGGATAACTCCCTTCAAAAGTTCTGTCCGGACACTGAAGAGGTATGTTACTTTGTGTTACCGGTATTATGACCCCCTCATAATCTCCGATGTTATCTTAAACCAACCTTTTTTTTCTTCAGCAAAGGCAGCTCTCTCAAACTCTTCAAGAACTCGCTGAAACCGAAAACTTACCGACATCTAATCTAGTCACTCAGGCACTCCAGCTGCTCGGGATGCCCATCCCAAAGTGCCTTTCTATGCAGGTGTACCAATGGTCGGTAGAAGACGTCGTCTGTTGGATGAGCCGCGTATGTGCCCTGATATTGTTTCATTTCCCATGTTATCAGGAAAATGTTGTTTGGTTTTGTTCCAAGGAAATAAAGCAAGACAGTATACATATTTCATAGGATGATTCAGGAATGTTTTTGCACTTATCCCGGCAAAACATCCACTTCATGTCTTTTCTGATGACTGGAGGAATTAATAATAATAATGATAATACTCGTTTATGAGTGTTCACCGACAACTAACGGAACTCCCTTGGCCCGCCTTGCCTTGGGTCCCATTTCGCGGACAGTGAGAACAGTCGTAGTGACTAGTGTTCTTAGGCAGAGCGTATTGTCAGAAAAGAAAAGGGAGAATATAATGGCCGTTTCTGACTTATTAACCATCGCCAGCCAATCATACTTAACCCCAAGTGGTTCACCACTCGCGATCTTGTTGATCAGAGTCTAATGACCTAACCACCGATCCACGAGCTCGTCGTCTTGCTGGTTAAATGATGATAATAATAATAATAAACATAAAGTTTTGCTTCTGGAACAGCATGTTTTGGGTGTGGTTCGTCTGTCAACCAGTAATAACAATTTTTACGGGCGTGTAATGGATAACGAGTAGTGTTAATAATCTGTTTTGACTCGCTCAAGTGGCTAGACCGAAGTTTGGAAGAAAAAATTCAGCGAAATCAAAAATTAAGACGCTACAAAAGATTATCATTAAGTGAACACCAAAAGATTTTGACGTTCTAACTTACCATACTAACAGCCTAGGTACTCGCCTTTTAGCGAGTACATAGGCTGTTAGTATGGTAAGTTACAACGTCAATTTATACTACTGAG